TACATAAAATCGCCAGGCGCGGTGCCTCACGCCTGTAATCCCAGCACTTTGGGAGGCCGAGGAGGGCAGATCACAAGGTCAGGAGATCGAGACCACCCTGGCTAACACGGTGAAACCCCGTGTCTACTAAAAATACAAAAATTAGCTGGGCGCAGTGGCGGGCGCCTGTAGTCCCAGCTACTCGGGAGGCTGAGGCAGGAGAATGGCGTAAACCCGGGAGGCGGAGCTTGCAGTGAGTGGAGATCACGCCACTGCACTCCAGCCTGGGCCACAGAGCAAGACTCCGTCTCAAAAACAAAAAGAAATTACATAAAATCAAGGAGACAGTCACTATGAGTGAGAAACCATAGATGGTAGGCAAAAAGAGATTCACAACGACCTCTGATACTGGAAATGACAAAAATATAAGAGTGTTTTATACATTTAAAGAAATGAGAAACTTGAAAGTCTGAACAGGGAACAAGAAATATAGCCCAAGCATATTTGAATAAGAAAGGAAAAATATAATTGAAATTTACATACGTGAATACAACATTCCAGAAAGATCTAATAGAATGAGGGAGAGATGCTATTCAAAGAAGAAAATGGAGGAGAATTTTCCAAATTGTTCGAAAGACACCAATCCTCAGATTAAGCCCAACAAACTTCAAACATTAATATTTATGGACATAGATGTGGATATAGATAACAAGACAAGTCGGTGTCAAAACAATGGAAGAGGACAGTATCTCCTACAGAGGAATGGCTATTAGATGAGTAATGAAATTCTTAACATCAGCAATGGAAACCAGAGACAGTAAAATAAATTCGAAGTATTGATTAAATAACCAAGAATTGTATGCCAAGTAAAACATGGGAAACTGCCAAGCAAATTTGAGAGTTTACCACCAAATGACCCTCACTAAATGGATTCTGAAGGATATGATTCAAACCGAAGGAAAATGATCTCAGATGCATGGGCTGAGCTTTAAGGAGAGACAGTGAGCTAAGATAATTATGTGACAATCTAAACAAACCACTGATGATGAAACAAAGATAATTTGCAGGGAAAATAAAGCAGACTAGATTTAAAATGCCAAGTTGCAGTCACATGTAAGTTGGAAGGGGGAATGCAAGGCCCATGTATTGTCCAGGAGAACACTATGGCTATTGAGTCCCTTTAACTTATTAATATGTATGAAATAAGGCAAACACCAATAGACGAGATCAGTGTATACCTTCAGTGGAAGTAGAGAGAGAAGAGTCCAAATGAAGGAAGAGAGGGGAAAGGAGCAAGTAAAATGGAGCAGATCAAATGTTCAAAATGTGATTTGTCAATAAAACCAAATCACTAATCACAGTAAGCATAAGTGGACTAAAGTCTCCAGTTAAGGTTTTGTTATAGTTTAGAAACAAAACAAAATTCAGCTATGTGCTTATTACAACAGAAACACCTAAAGCACAGAAAGATTAAAAGTCAAACAGTGGAAAAGATAGACCAGGAAAATACCCAAAGCAGGCAAGTATAGTCATATTAATATCAAAGGAGAATTCAAGCAACAAGTATTACTCAAAATAAGGAAATTTCCTACATAATGGTAATTCCATTTACTGGGAAAAGGTACTGATTCTAAATTTATGTATATATGTATATGAATTATGCATAGCCTCATGATATACAAGGCCAGACTGACAGAATTAAAAGGAGAAATTTTAAATCTATCATCATAGTAGATTTTAACGCATTTCTCAGTTATTAGTAGATGAAACAGACAAAATCAAAGTGGAAAATGCGAACAGTAAAACTACGGAGCTTGAATTAATGGGCGTTTATGGCATCTGACATTTGGAAAAGACACACTTCTTTCAAGCACATGTGAAACAGTTGCTGGGATTGACACACCCCAAACATAAGGCTCAACCAATACACTTCAAAGGATTGAAATCCGCCCGACCACTTTTCTTACTGCAATGCAATTAAGTTGGAAAACAAAGCATGTAACATAATTAGAAAAGTTCACTCACTTGGAAATTTAATAACACAACAATATATGGGTCAAAGGAGAAATCATCATTGAAATTAAAAATTTCACCATCTAGTTTTTTACATCAAACACATGGGATACAATACTTGGAAGGAAACGTACAGCATTAAGTGCTTGCCTTAAAAACCAAAATGAGAAGGCTGAAAATGGAGCTAAGATCGAATTGAATCAAAGACCCACAGAAGTAGAAGGAAGGAAATTAAAAGGACAGAAATTAATGAAATAGAGAAACACACAAAAGAGATTAACAAGATAAAACACAAAAACTATGTATTGGAAAAAGCATGGTTCATTTTTTTTAAAAACACACAAATGGAAAGAAAACAACATAACTGCAGATGCTACAGAGAAATACAAGAGGGAATAAGAACTGCTGTCAACACACTTTAGAACTTTAATATAGTGGATGACTTCCTAGAAAGACAGAACTTAGCAAAACCAAGTCAAAGAGAAACACAAAATCAGAATCATCCTTTACCTGTAAAAGAAATACAACCAACAGTCAAAATTTTTCTCATAAAGAAACCAAGTCAAAATGGCTCAATCTGAATGCTACTAAATATTCAAGAAACAACATTTTCATTCTCACTGTTCCTACACAGAGAGAAGAAAACAAAACACTCTCAATTCATTTTATGAGGCCAATATAACTTTGATACCCAAACTGCAAGAACACAACCAGAAAGAGAACTACAGGCCAATTCAATCTCACTTTATGAACATGCATGCAACAATTCTGAACAGATATTACCAAACCAGATCCAGCAATGAATAATAAAAGTGATACATCATGATCAAGTTGGGTTTATTCCAGCAAGTTGACTACTATTAGAATTGTTATTAATAAAATTCACCGTAGTAACAGATTTAAAAGTAACTTAATAAAGAAAAAAATAGAATTAAACATCCATATAATGTATGACATTAAAAAGGTCAGCATATTTTTAGAAGGACATTTTTTTTTAACTTGAAAAAGGACATCTACAAAAAAAAAAATCTAGCAAGTATAGTTAAGGAGGAACATAGAAAGCAGTCCCTTTAAGATAAGGAATGAAGCAAAGATGTCCTCCATCACCCCCTTTACTCCTCTTTAAGATTGCGTTGGGATTTGAGCCAGCTCAGCACCTCAGTATAGTCAAGGAAAAGAAACAAAATGTTAAGGGTGGGAATGTAAAATGCTCCACTGCTTTAGAAAACAGCATAGAGGGTTCCTCAATTTTTTTTTTTTTTTTTTTTTTTTTTTTTTTTTTTTTTTTTTTTTTTTTTTTTAAATTTTTTTTTTTTTTTTTTTTTTTTTTTTTTTTTTTTTTTTTTTTTGAGGCGGAGTCTCGCTCTGTTGCCCAGGCTGGAGTGCAGTGGTGCAATCTCGGCTCACTGCAACCTCTGCCTCCTGGGTTCAAGCGATTCTCCTGCCTCAGCCTCCCTAGCAGCTGGGATTACAGGCGCCCGCCACCATGCCCAGCTAATTTTTGTATTTTAGTCCACTTCAGCCTCCCAAATTGCTGGGATTACAGGCGTGAGCTACTGTGCCTGGCCTGGTTCCTCAAAAAAGTAAACAGAATGAATATGTGATCCAGCAATTCCAAAGATAATTGAAAGCAGGGACACAAAAAGATACTTGCACACTCGCGTTCATAGCAGCATTATTCACAACAGCCAAGAGACAGAAGCAGTCCAAGTATCTATTGATGGTTGAATGGATAAGCGAAAGTGGTCTATCCATGCAATGGAATATTATTCTTCCTTAAAAAGGAAGGAAATTCTGACACATGCTGCAACATGGATGAAACTTGAGGTCATTACGCTAAGTGAAATAAGTCAGACACAAAAAGACAAATACGTATTACACTACTTATATGAAGTACCTAGAGTGGACATTCAGAGACAGAAAGTAGAATGGGGGTTGCCAGGGTGTTGGGGGTAGGAATGGGGAGTTAGTGTTTAAAGGATACAGGATCAGTTTGGAAAAATGAAAAAGTTCCAGAGATGAATGGATGGTGGTGATGGTTGCATAACGATGTGAATATACTTAACCACTGAATTGTACACCCGAAAATGCTTAAAAGGGTAACTTTTATGTGTATTTTACTACAGTTTTAATTTGTATGGCTCCCCAAGGAAGAAAAGAATGGGCTTTGTTTATGATTGTCCGTAAACACCGCTGCTCTGAATCCAGTGCTTCCTACTGGTCCCAGGGTTATTGATTACATAGGGTTTCTGAATGGGGGTGTGTTTCAGAGGCTATCTACAAAATTTCATGTAATTTTTCTGAGGAGAAGAGCAAAAAGCTTTCATCAGACTGTCAGAAGAGTCTGTGACACACAAAAGTCTAAGACTCATTCTGAGTTGCCCACCTCATGCTGTTAACCTCCTCCCCTACCTCACCCCCTGCAGTTCTGCATAGTCTGGAACCAGACCCCATCCTATCAGCAAAGGCTCAGATTCTGCACTCACTTCCCCGTCTTATCCTCCCTCTCGCAGGTAGCTAGCTTTTCTTTCATTCACGCAGATACTGCCTTTTCTTTCATTCACTCAGGTTGTTTACAATGCAAAGAATATTCTGAAATATGTCTTAAATTCATGGAACAAAGTTTTATTTTTTAGATAACTGTGGCTCTGAAATCAACCAATTTTCAGGTTTTTTTCTATTGCCCTTCATTTCCTGGATGGTAATATTAAACAGGTCCAGCTCTAGCTCCGAACCAGAAAGGTTCTCTGTCAAATGGTTGGAATCCTCCACGTTCTGTAACCACAGATCATTTTTAACTAGCTTTTCTTGCTAATCGTATGTCTTGCATTTCATGTAGACTGTGTTTTAACAAACTGAAGACCTTTCGCTCAGTCCCGTGGTCTGCCTGGGTGGCGGTGAGGAATCTCAGGGTGATAACGGAGAGGTGCCTCTCAGATGCACCTTCAAAATATCAAGGGAACGAGAAATGTCACCAGCTTAATTTGCACTCAAAAGACTTCTGAGACTTTTCTTTTTAACAAAATGCTTTATTTCTATTTTTAAATGAGATGCATTGTTAGGCATTCCCATGAAATATCAAAAGGCATTTACCTGTGTTGTTTTAACTCTTCTTTTTTGATCACACAAAGTAGGTAGAAAAGATCTGCTGAACTAGAACAAATCAGAAACCAAGTAGTGTAAGGCATTAGGAGATAAATGAAGAGAACTGCTATTTGCTTCTTGTACAGCGTGTGGCAACTCATGGTTAGTAGTCGTCGTAGTTGACGCTGGCTCCGTGCCTAAAGCTGTAGGGGCTCCGGGCACCAATTGCAGAGTCTTCATCATAGTGACGTTGGTAGTAATCGCCATAGTACTCATGTCCATTTCGATCTCTGTTAAGCCAATAGGTGATGTCATCTTCAAATTTCTGGAGGAAAAGAGAGAATGATAGAGAACAGATTTAAGGGCACACAGTCCCCTAAGACCTAATCTGACCTATGGGCTTTCACCATGGTGTTTTTTCTTCAGTGATTAACAACCCTTAGTAACTTCCTGTTATCGTATTCTTGTGCTCAGAGGCCAACACGGTCAGCAGTATTCACTCTGATAAAAGCTATCTTTTTCCAAAGGAATGCAGGCCCATACCTTTGCAAACTTTTATAAAATATATGTTAAATATACTCCAGACTTAAACTGTACATCAAATGGACAGTTGCCCAAATGCAGTAACAACTTGGCCTGACCCTTAGGCCACATCTTATTGCGGCAAACACTGTCTTACCTTCCTACCCCATTCCTGTGCCTGGCCCTTTATATTGCACGTAGTAGATGCTTAATAAATGTTGCCTGAGTTAGATCAACCACTGCACTGGCCTATTATAGTGCTAGGGCAGAGAACTGGGGGTACATTTGATGGCGACTCTTATACCTGTGTTGTTGGTTAGAGTGTACACAGATGCACTTATTTATTCTGCAAACGCTTTGAGATGGGCACTGTGTGTCATGGCCTGTGCTGGACACTGGAAGGCTGCCAGAAACAGAGTCTCCGCCTTCAAGAAGCCTACTGTTCCTGCGTGACAGATACGAGAAGAGACAGTTACAGATAATAAAAGGGATAGAGAAGCTAAAGCTGAGTAAGAAGTGTAGAATGATGCTCAGGTTTTTGGTTTGGGCAACTGATCTTGGCTATTAATACATTTTTTTTTTTAAGAAGAAGATACTAATTTTTCTTTGGTGGTGGTGAAGGTGCAAGATTAATTTAGACTAGGACTCGTGTGTTGATGCTCAGGATGTGGCAAGAGATTTAGTGTGACAGCAAAAAGGCAGGGAGATGACAGATGGGCGGGTGAACGGGTCATGCTATTGGGGTGCAGGGCCAGTTTTTCTCCAAGCATGGCCCATGCACCCCTGCATCCAAATCACAAATGCAGGTTCTCAGGCACCAGCTACTCCATGCCTCCTGCATGGAACTTTCTGATGTTTGGGTCTCAGCAACTTGTTTTTATTTTAACAAGACTGCCAATGAACATTCATTAATATTTGAGAACTTTGTGAGGCTAGAATCCCCAAGCTAGCCCATGACTGTGGTCTCTGCGTCTCAGTGGTCATCCACTCTCGGTGGGTAGTGGGCCAGCTAGTGTTAGGCTAAAGAGCATGATTCCAGTTTCTCACTGCCATTCTCTATAGCTGGGGTCTGAATCATCTGAGCCCACCTCAGCCTCTGCCTTGGGAAGGAGGCCACCGACTTCTTTGGCTCCATCTCTAATTTTGCTTCTCCCATAATACAACATTCTTGGCCACGGTGAAACAATCTTGCTTCTTGGGTTTTCTCATTTTATTTTATTTATGTATTTATTTTTTTTAAGAGGGAGTTTCACTCTTTCACCCAGGCTGGAGTGAAGTGGCGCGATCTCGGCTCACTGCAACCTCCGCCTGCCGCCATGTGTGAATGTGAAGTAAGTTCATACCTCCCTGTGTGAGACGTAGAGGGAGGACTTGTGGCCTGTGCAGCCCCACCAGGGAGCAGGTGGGCTTTTCATGGGCAGGACCTCCAACTGGGCATTTGGAAGTGTTTTTCACAATGCGCACGTGATTCATTTAGACGGTGTATACACAATACTACAGTAGGTGAGGAAAAAACTAAACCCCTTAGACAGATCATTTTTAATGGCTACATAAAATGAAATCATGTGGCTATACCATAATGTCCTTCACATTTCCAACCATTGGACACATTACTTGTTTCCCAAGTGTCTTTTTGCCTTTTTTTCTTTTTCTGTGCAAATAGCTGAACACGTATAGCCAAACTGAGCCGAGCATGATTCTAAGTACTTAGAGGTATGAACTTACTTCACATTCACAACAACCCAAAAGGCAGGTGCTGTTATTTACATCTCTGTGCAGTTTGCCCTTTACTTAGACCACATTCTTCCCAGTGAGGTTCCTGGGGCTAGGGTGGAATCGCGTTTAAGTATCTCTGAGTATTGTCAAATCGTGCATTCCTGTGAGTCACATGTAAGAGCAACAGTTTTCTGGAATCTTCAGCGGCATCTGGTGTTCTCATTGAAAACTAAAATTACATGTTTACTTGTTTGATAGACAAAAATGCTCTCTCCTCTTTCAGTAATTTGCATTTCTTTGATGACCATCATTAAAATGGGCATTGGGAGTTTAACACGCAGGTTCGGGTGTGGTAGCTCACGCCTGTAATCCCAGCACTTTGGGAGACCGAGATGGGTGGATCACCTGAGGTCAGTCACCGTGGATGGACATCCATGTGGCCACATCTATGACTTCCATGGGCTGCCGTCTCACCTGCACAGGCACCCCAGCTGGGAGCCTAAGATTATAAACCTTTTGTCTTTCATTCAATGAATGCGTCCACCAGTGCCATCTAGGCGCATGAACTGTAAAACATCTTTTCCTATAAGTTTATTGACAAATTTTCCCCAAAACCTCTACAAAGACCCATCCTTTCTTTACAGGTTCTTTTTCATCTCTTGTCATTATCATCATAGATCCTGGCATCCCTGTTGTTTCTGACAGTCTTCGAGGTAAAAGTGAAAAGATTTTGGGGGATTGTGAGTTATTTTAAGGATACCCTGGCAAAACCATTCAGCCAAGTTAAAAGGGTTGCCCAGAAAGTCAGATTCTCGATGAATCTAGGTCCCTGCTGTTTTGGTTCATGACTGCCCTGGGTTCTGCCTCCTGAATGTGCCCTGGTGGAAACTTCCAGCTATTGACCTTACACCATAGGTAACGTGATCCAGTGCCTGATAACTCTTGGCATATGATGGGGCCCTTACTTTAGGAACGAACAGCAAAGCTGAATTTTGTGCTTCCTATTTCCCCGAGCCACGCCTCCTCCCTGCCACCCTGCCCTGTGGAAGCCAGGCCTGCAGCCAGAGGCAACACCCACCGCTTCGTCAAAGCCCATGTAGAGAAACTGCTGGTACCACTGCTGCACCTCGGGCCGGGTCCGGTCCCACAGCTGCCGCTTCTGGCGCTTCAGGCTGCCGAGGAATTCTTTGGCTTTGTTCTCATCAACGGCCACTTTGGTCTTAGTTGGAACAGGTGCTGAAATCATCAATTCCCCATCCCCAAAGCACAAAGAATGATTTCCTTCCTCACTGGCGGTGAATCCCTGTTATACATTCCATCCCCACCACCATGCATAGGACGATTTTAACTCTCAACTTCATTCTTACTTGCATGTGGCAATGTGACACAGCCTCACAGCATCCATCACCATGCTTCCTGTTGGTAAGTTCTATTTGGTACAGCCATATAAAGAGGCATGGACTAAACTTCAACCTCTGTGTCCTCAGGGTAGAAATGAAATTCAGCTCATCATTCAAGAAACAGACTGGATGTCTAGTGCCACACAGGTATACGGGCATGTCCATTGCATTTGCAAACACAAGAAGGTTGTGCTTGGCTCAGGAGATTATGTAAGAGAAAGGAACTGGAATGACGAGCCCTGAGTGAGCAGGGACCAGACCCTGCCCAACAGTAGAGCTGATTCTCACACCAGGCTGCTGAGACACAGAATTCCCTTAAGCCAGTGCCTCTCTGCGCCTCACAGTCTGACCATTGATGCAGGATACTGACCCGCACCCTCATACTGCTGCTCCTAACGCCTTTCCATCACAGTCTCAATTGCTGAAACGGAACCACTTCTGCAGGTTGTGCTCGAGGAAGCCACTGTGCCATTAGGCATTCTGCCCCTGCTGTCACGTTCTCAGCCCCTGTCCCCTTATCTATAAAAGTGGATGGACAGTCCCTCTCAAAGACGTTAGGAAAAATGCACAGGATCATGCAAATGCAGGGTTGATGCGTTTGTTGGTCATATGGATACATATCAGCAGGGATTTTTGTTTGTTTGCAGTCCCTTCAGGGACTGTTACACTGTTTTGTATACAGTAGGTGCTCAATATGTGTTTCTTGGTTTGAACCGAGACAAGGCTGCGGGATGCACACCTAGGAGTTGTGACTGCCTCAGCGACTTGCTCGCCTATAACAAGCTGGTTCTGTGAGGGCGTTGTTCATCCCTGGACATCGGTGAGGTGAGGCTCTCACCACCACGCAACACAGGGAGGGGACACTCTGAGCCGCTTCAGAGATTGGGGGTGGGCCAGGGCTTCATGGGTGGCTGGAAACCCAGGGAAAGATGCTGGGAACGCCCCCAAGGAAATCCTTGCCTGCAAGGGTGGCCGCCTGTTCTCCAGCCACCTGTGGGAGGGTCCCTGAGCAGCAACTAGGGGGTGTGGGAAGAACGACTGAGGACCCCACTTCAGGCAGGAAGTTCAGCCTGCTAGAATCCCCCGTAAACTAGCAGGGAAAGAATAAGTGACTAAATGGTCACATCAGAAGTGTGGTCACACTTTTTCATTTCTAAGGGATTCTGAATTTTACAGATAAAGATGAAAGTTGGGAGAGGGAAAATGACATTCACAAGACCCCACAGTTGATTCACCTGATCTGATTACAGCAGGTCCAGAACCTGTGTGTTGTGACCCCCAGACTGTTCAATTTCTATGACATTTTGCCACTGTCACATTTATCTTAGATGCATTTTTCAAAACAGAGGCTAATAACAAGAAACACTTTCTTGTTTGAAACCCTTCCCCATGAGTTCATGGGAGACACGGACTACTGCAACAGTGCTGTTCCACGCCTGCCCCACCAGCTGAGGATTATGTGCTCCAAAGATAATCTCTGAAATGCTTCATGGTCCTAAAATAAATAGCATGCAATTAACTGTACCACTGTTTCTTTTAGAGTCCACACTGACAGGTTTCAGAAAAATAACCTTCAGACATTTACTGGCAATATTTATCTAATAAAATACCATAGCACATACCCACAGAATAAGCCCTTCATATATGCTAACCTTTTAAGGAGTAAACACTTTTGATTTTCCAAATACAAGACTCCAGTGAGCACATTCCATATTGCCACTTCATTTCCATCCAGTTAAGAATGCATCCCTTATCCATTTGGGGTATATTTACCTTCTCGTTTTTGAAGCATCAGCTTGAGTTTATTTCCACTTATGCCACCTAAAGGAATGAAAATTGAAATCCATATCAGAGTGGCACTGCTCCCTTCAATTTATCAAAGGCAGAAATCAGAGTGGGAAAAAAGAACTGCGGACCCCTGGCTTGATTTGACAAGTTGGTAACATCACAGTATTTAATGCTTGTTGTATTCCCTGTCCTGCAGGACAAACAATTCAGGCTGCCCATGGCTAATACTGGTGATAATGACCACAGCAGACCAAGGGCATTACGATTTGTGCTAGTCAGAGTGACGTGGTTCTTTTAGCCCTGTGTCTTACTATAAGGGGCAGCCATCTGTCATGCTTATCTTCCTGCAAACTTTCGCTTCATGGTGTAATACGTTGAATAGTGTCCTCCTGAAACTCCGATCCACCAGGAACCCCTGAATGTGAGCTTATTTGGAAATGGGATCTTTTCAGATATAATCCGTTAAGGATCTCAAGATTTTTCATTTAAAAAATTTTTTTTCTTTTTTTTTTTTTTTTTTTTTCAGCCTGACCCATCACTGAGAGGGTCTCAAGATGTTATCGTATGAGATTTAGAGGGATAGAGATCCAGTGGCTGGTGTTTGTATAAGAAGAAGACAGAATCCAGAGAGGTCACCCGTGTGAAGACAGAGGCAGGCAGAAATGGGAGTCAGGCTCCCACACTTTGGGGAACTTGCCTTCACTCTCTAAAAGTGCAGCCGGGTTTTGTATCTTGCCCAGATCATCCTAAAATCAGGCATGATTTGTACCACTTGCTGTTATTTGTATTCACTTTTAAAAGTGTTTCTGATCAGCTCAATAATTTTTAATAGAAAATACCTTGTCTGGCCTGATAGAACACACGCTTCCACCCAGCGCACTGGCTTGCGGACCTATAGAAGCCTCTGACCCTTAACTGTTGCATGCAGACATGCTGACATCGTAAGTAGTGAGTAGCGCATCTTCGGGTGTAAGGAACTGGAGTCAGGCCCCAGGATGGAGGTAATCGTGACCACTTTCTCAGCAGGGTTCTTAGCCTCTCCTTCCATGGACAGGCTCCAGGGGGTCTGGAAAGGCATGTAAAATTGTGTTTGCATCTGCAAAGGCAAATTTTCTGGGAATAGGAACCATAGCTTTTGCCAGACTCTCAAAAATGTCTGTGACCCAAATAAAATTAAGAAGCCCTGCTTTGTTTGTGAATCAATAAATAAATTGATCAGTAAAGCTGGGGGAAAAAATAAATGTTTTAAAAGAGAACCTCTGCATCAAGAATTTACTATGGAGTTGGGGAGAAAAATATATCCATAGCCAAGAGTTACAAGCTGGCTGCCCTACCTGAGGATGCATTTTATTAGCATACCCAGTGTTTACAAATTTTGAATTCGAATGCCTCTCAGCCCAAGTCACTTAGCACACCCATGGTCCGTAAGCAGCCACCTAACCTACTAACCTCCTGCAGCATTTGAATTAAAGTGCTACCTAGCTGCCTTCAGAGTCATTGGGCCATCCAGGGAGCCTGCTGGTCTGCCCTCTGGGATGGGACAGAGAACCTGCTGGAACTTATTAAGTCTATTTCCTGCTAAGTGCCTCCGTCGTAATTCACGGGTAGGGTGGCCACACTTTCTGGCTGTCCAGGGACAGCCCTGGTATATACCTCTTGTCCTTGTAAATTAATGATAGTGCCTCCTTTTGCTCTCAAAAGTGTTTTAGCTTGGATGATAAATTACATGGTCACCCAATTTTTCGAGGTTTAATGGCATGGAAATGGCTTCATAAGATCTCTAGGGACCACACTGAAGGGCCAGGGAAGAGAGGTGGTGATTTCCCTCGCACCTTCCCTATGAGAGCTGGGAGTCTGCTGGGTGACGAGCTAAGATATCAGCGTAGTGCACAGCAGCCTGTGGGAGAGCTGCAGTGGTTTCTGCTGTCTGTGCTCAGGTCGGTCTACAGTGATGTAGTTGTTTAAAAAGCCATTGCAATCTTAGGCTGTTCAATAAAGGATACTTAAAAAAAGAAAGTAGCTGTCCTGTCTCCGTTCCATCACAGCTCTGAGCAGACTTCCCCTCTACTATTTAGTTCAGTTCACATCATCTCACTTGAAGAGGGTCGCAGAAAAACTGGAGTTGTGGTCAAAGGAAAGTGTCCAGAGAGGACTAGGGCCCAAGCACATGTTATATGAGAAGAAATTAAAGGAATTTAGGTATTTAACCTAGAGAAATAAAACCTGTGGGGCTGAGTGTGGTGGCTTGCACCTGTAACCCCAGCATTTTGGGAGACCACGGCAGGCACATCACCTAAGGTCAGGAGTTTGAGACCAGCCTGGTCAACTTGGTGAAACCCCGTCTCTACTAAAAATACCAAAAATTAGCCGAGTGTGGTGGTGCATGCCTGTAGTCCCAGCTACTCGGGAGGCTGAGGCAGGAGAATCGCTTGAACCTGGGAGACAGAAGTTGCAATGAACCAGGCATCACTTCGCTCCATCCTGGGTGACAGAGTAAGACTCCATCTCAGAGGAAAGAAAGAGAGAGAGAGAGAGAGAAAGAAGAAGGAAGGAAGGAAGGAAGGAGGGAAGGAAGGAAGGAAGGAAGGGAGGGAGGGAGGGAGGGAGGGAGGAAGGAAGGAAGGAAGGAAACTTGTGGGAGTAGAGCAATGGCTTTGAGGGGCCACTGGGCCATAGGTTAGAGCATGAAGGTTTCTAACACCCTGACAGACAGCCACCCAAGATGGGACGAATGGCCCTGGGGGGTTTGAGATTAAGAGTTGCTGGAGGCATCTGAACATAAATAAACAAAGATGAGCACTTGCCCAGGCTACTGTAGAGGGGATTTTCTAATTAGATGGGGGTGGGACTACTGTTAAATGTTCTGCTTCTCTTCCAAGCTTATATTCAATGAAGAAATCTATGAAAATATTTGCCAAGGGAGACAGATACGATCCTTGGCACTAATAATAGCATTCATTAATGTCTTAACATTTGTCAATCTCTAACAGCTCACAGGGTAGTGCATACAGAATTAAGTATGGCCCCTCCATCTGTTTGCCTTCTGTAAAAGTGCTTAACAATTAATGAATGAAATGTGGTCTGATGTTGAAATAGACATTGGGTTTAGGCATTTGCGATGAGGCTGCAATTTCTTGCAGCAAATGTATATTATCCTGTATATTATCACTATTACTCCAGAAACGACAGCCTTGCCAAACCTTAGCTATAGACTGAAAAGCACAAATAAGTCCCAAATTATGAATTATGAATGTTGCTACTGTGCCAGGTACTACACACCGAACTCCATATCAGTACATATAATTGGACACTACACTAAAGTTGTTTGAGGAAAAGAATAAGGAACAATAGAACAGCTGTGACTTTTTTCTGTATTATGGATTTTTCACCCAATATCATCCGTTGTTCATTCTAGGCTGCAATAATAAGCACTCCTGAATTTATCCAATCCAGTTGCCTAGTATTAGCTCTCCCAGCAAATTCAGAGCTGCAAAATGCTCGTTTGAAGGTGCTTAGTATTAACAAATTGATCAAGAAAGGGCCACTGTCATTTTCTTTATTAAATGTTTGTGAGTGAGGAAGGGCGTGATGGTTCAAGCCTATAATCCTAGCACTTTGGGAAGCCGAGGCAGAAGCATCACTTGAGCCCAGGAGTTCGAGACCAACCTGGGCTACATAGTGAGACTCATCTCTACTAAAAATTAAAAGCAAAAAAAAAAAAAAAAGTCACATACCTGTAGTCCCAGCTACTTGGGAGGCTGAGGTGGGAAGATTGCTTGAGCCTGGGAGATCAAGGCTGCAGTGAGCTATGATCACACCA